CTGAATCTTAAACGTTGATTGAAAATTGCGACCATTCTCATTCTGAACGATTTTTGTTGTTCCAAATGATGTCACTTGAAAGCACGAATTGAATTTGCGAATTTTACGAAAAAACAATTTAGATTGAGATGTAGGTTCAGCCAATAGTGCTTTCAATGGTTCTAGCGGCGAATTCAATGGTGGCAATACAAATTTTCCAGATGCGCCGCAGAAATCAGCCAATTCACCTTTGTATTTGTGTGCATGACAGTGTTGGCACTGTTTGTTCATAGCACCGATTACAATTCGTGAATGTGATGAATAGTCGGTATCCGATTCATATGTTATTCATATTGTTTTTTATTGTACGTTATTTATATCTTTATATATATAATTCTTCTTTTTTGTGTGTGTTCAAGTGAATTCAAGGATGGTTTAGATTCACAATTTGGTCCACTGGATAACGTTTTTTTAATTATACAGTTTTTTGGTATCCATATACATTTATATTAGACATTAAAAAGTTATTCATTCTTACTTTGATTTGTTTAAAAAGTTTAAACTCTAAAATGAATCGTTCAGCTATCCTGTTGAATTTTTGAATTCGCTGGAATACCAGGAATACCAACACATAACTTAAGATTAAAAATTGGCTCACCTATAATTATGCTGCGGAATTTAAATGCACTCAAGCTATGCAACGGCAATTTTACGATTCATTTTAGAGATTTTAAACTTTTTAAACAAATCAAAGTAAGCATGAATAAATTTTAAATTTTTAATAGAAATGTATATGGATACCAAAAAATAAAAAATTAATTAAAAAGACATTATCCAGTGGGCCAAATTGTGAATCTAAACCTTCCTTGAATCCACTTGAACACACACAAAAAATTTCATCAAAATCGGTTCACCCGTTTAGGAGAAGTTCACTGTCAACACACGTACAGAAGAATTATATATATAAGATATTCTAATTTGAAAGAAATATGTACATTTATGTTTTTATTAAAAAATATATTCTTGTTCAGTTTAACTTATTCAATGTACATTTTATGTCACTCATACGCCATGAGCATAATTTTTCTATAGTGATATAGAAAATTTGTGGTATTTATTTCAACTAAAAAATATTTATAATATAAATTAAAACTTGTTTTGTTCAAACTGTTAAAATATATTTGTTTTAAAATGAGAAATAAGATGATATAAAATAAATAAAATTTTTAACCCAACAAAGTCCACAGTAAATTCCATAACTTTTTCTAGGTTTTTTGTATATTTTAAATGCGAGTTTATACCATTTGCTTATTGATATATGTACAAGTGTATGTATTCTGTTAGTGTATCTAGTAAATGTCTTACTAAATCCTAGTATAAAAAAAGTCCTTTGGTTTTTTCGGTTGATACTGTTAGATTATTATGTGGAAAACGCAAAAGGTATGCAATACGTGCTTCTAAACCTTTTAGAATTTATGTTTCTAACATAGTGAATGTAATGTAGATAACGAAAATATGTAAAAACTTTTAGAATATTATTGTTATCTCTTAAAAGTACTAAATGCAAATATATTTATTATATTTAGATCTACATGTTCAGTTAAAAAAAAATTACGAAAATAAATTTTGAAATTTAAATTTAATCAGTTTATTTTATTTCAACCTCCAGTGTCCGATATAAAAATAGTTGCTTTATAAATTAATTCATTATAAATTTATAATGTAACATATTAATATTGTATTCATGCCACTAAAAGTTTCAATTTGGCTTTTATTTTGTTGTTGGTACAGTTTGAAGTGAGTGAGTTGTATTATTTTCTTATCTTTAAATCACAAATTGAAAGAACTTATCTTCGATCTAATACTAATACACATTTCAAGGAATCTTATTTTCTTTGAATCTTATAATCGTTATTCTAATGATGCAAAAAATTTAATGTCTTACGATGAAAGCGCTGAGGTGTTTAGCTAAAGTTGCAATATGGTGTCCGAATTTCATAGACATTAAATACAAAATATGCTTTCAACGCAATATTTTTCTTTATCAATACTAAAGCTTATTCTTAATTTAGTCGTTTTTTTTCGTATTAACTGAGATATTTTTTAGAGTTATATGCTCTATTAAAAGAACATATCAAAGACATTCTGGTTCTAGGTACTAATGGATTGGTACATTCTGGTTCTAGGTACTAATGGATTGGAGTGTCCATAGACACTCCTTACACTGAGCTTTGAAGTTTCTGGGCTTTGGTAAATTTTCTCGTTTCATTGGTAGAGATCATGTAAACTGCTTCCGAAATATTTCTCGATTTATTTTTACCCACAAGAGTAGGTGAAAATCTTCTAAGGAAGTAGATAGC